GGGCCAGCTGCAAACATCTGCTGCCTCCCTGTCCCAGCCCCAAACCCAGCTGCCTCCCAGCCCCAGCCCCAGGCTCTGGGGATGCAGCACATACTGGTAATGGTCCCTGCTGTGCCGCCCTCACCACTTCTGCAAAGCAGCGTTGGAACCTGGTGCAGCAGGGGATGCAGAAACCTACCTGCTCCCAGCTCCCTGCTGCCCTGCCACACTTCCCCTGCAGGCGGGGGCACCAGCGAGGGGCAGGACCCTGTGCTTCTGCCCACGCTGCTCCCACGCACACAGGGGAAGTGTGGCAGAGCAGTGGGGAGCAGGCAGCTTTCTGCTCCCCTGCTGTGCCCTGCCATGTCGGGTTCCAGTGCTGCTTTACAGAAGCAGCAAAGGCAGCACAGCAGGGAGCACTGCTAGTATGTGCTACCTCCCCAGAGCCCAGGGCCAGGGCAGAGAGGCAGCAGATGTTTGCAGCTGGCCCAGGTTCTGGGTAGCTGCTGACAGAGCAGCTGCTCACAGAGCATGGGCTGGGGGGCAGGGGATCCTGCCATGTATCCCCTGCCCTCATTTTGTTTTTCTGGTATGCTGGCACTCCGGCACCTTCCAAGGTAGGCACCGTGGGGGTTTTCAGCACTCCGGCCAAAGAACATTGCCTACCCCTGCTCTTATGGAATGGACTTTAGAGTACTGAAGTAATTGGTTAAGGTAATTTCAGAGCTACTGGCTGTCCTCTTTAAGAACTCGTGGGGGTCAGGAAAAGTCATTATGCTCACAAGTAGTCATCAATGGCTCATCGTCTAGCTGGGAGGAGGTATTGAGTGGGGATCCCCAGGGGTCTGTCCTAGGTCCAGTATTGTTCAACATTTTCATTTATGAGCATGCTTCAATAGAGTGCATGTTTAGCAAATTTATGGACCATGCCAGGAAAATGGTGTGCAATCAATCAGATTAAACACTTGTCAACAAAGACAAGTGCAAAGTCCTGCGTTTGGGACAGAATAATTTCTTACACAAATACAGACTGATGAATGATTGGCTAAGTTGTAGTACTCCAAGAAAGGACCCGGGAGTTACAGTGGACCATAAACAGTTCTTGGCTTTGAGCTCTTGGTGCAAAAAAAAAAAAAGCCAACAGTCTATTAGGTTATATTAACATAAGTGATTCTTGCAAAACAAGAAAATGAATTCAACATGGTGAGTACCTGAAGTACTCTGTCCAGTTTGGGGCCACACACTCCAAGGACAATATGAATAAACTAGAAAGAGCCCAGCAGAGAGTAATAAAAATTATTAGAGGCCTAGGAAGTATGACTTACGAGGAAAGGCTGAAAGAACTAGGGTTAGTCTGGAGAATAAAAGACTGAGGTGGGATTTGACAGCAATACCTCAAGGGCAGGATATCCTTTTCTCTGTGGCTTTAGGGAACAGGACTAGGAACAATAGCCTGAAGCTTCAGCAGGGGAAATTTAGGTTGGATATTAAGAAGAACCGTATGAATATGAGGGCAGTCAAGGATGGGATGTGGCTACCTAGAGAAGCTATGGAATCTCCATCCCTGGAAATTTTCAAGGGCAGGTTGGACAGACACTTGGGTGAAATGATTCAGTCAGGGATGATTCTGCCTTGAAAAGGGTACTGGACTAGATGACCTTGTGATGTCCTTCCCAGCCCTACTTTCCTATAATATCATACTTTTGCCAGGCCAGGCAAAGAACCAGTAAGACTCACTTGAGAGATCTGAAGACAGAACAATGATGTGCGTTTACTTACTTGCACATTGCTTCTACCCCAGCTTTGGCTGTGGCACTAGGCGTCACAAATCCTGATCCACTCTCTGCATAGATGGTTGTAATAGCCAGGAATGCTGCCCCTGCAAATCGCAAAAGATAAACATTCTTAATCACACTCAGGACAAACTACAATTTAAAGTTGTACAACAAAAGTTGATAACTATTAGTGTAAGCCTCCCTGAGCCTTTTGGGAAGGATACCATATAAATCAATTGAATGAATGAATGAATGAACTACTGTTACTGGCATTTGCTGCTCCACTCTTCCCAGGTTAGGGTTTAACTAACTTTTAGCTATGAGTTTGGCTTCCCTTGTTGTTTTTACTGTGTTCCCTCACTCCTTATATGACTTTCAGTACACATGAAAGTTTTTGTTGATATTATATTAGCCACCAATCTCTATTTAAACTATCCAAGTAAGTCCTTATACCCATTGGCTCCCACCAGTATTGAAGGTACACAGGTAAATGTGTTTTAGGTCAAAGAGCTAGAGTACTACCCATAGGGTATTTCCACCTAGCAGCTACCCAGCCCTTGGAACTGTAAGCAATTATCTTCGCCCAATCCACATCATTATTTCACATTTTCTAAACAAAAAGGAAAGACATACAATTCAACATGAAGAATTAACTTGAATAAAGTTTTAAGTTATCATACAATACAATGTGAGGCTTGAGGCAGGCTGAAGCTGAGCCTCAAGGCACAGGGATTTTTTTGCTTAGGAGGTTAAATTAGTTCATTCTGAAGCAGAATTTATGACAAAGTTAATTTTAACAATTGTGCTGGATCTTGCTACCATTGCCATTGAAAAGTGTTTTTATACAAAAGCTTTAAGTTGGTGCCCAGAACAACAAACTCAGAAAGCTTTCAAAATCAAACTGGGGAGCCAAACTAAACCACTAAGAGCCACTACACTCATACTTTACTGTTGAAAGACTGAATATGGATCTCAGTTTGGGAAAGATTAGTTCACACAAAAAAAGCTGGAACCTATGATGAATGACAGTTACTATTTCAGGGGTGGGCAAAATACGGCCTGCAGGCTGGATCCAGTCTGCTAGGCTACTTTATCTGGCCCGTAGGGCTCCTAAAAATTTAGAAAATTAATATTTATCTGCCCCTGGCTGCCTGTCAAGACAGGAGCCAGTGGCAGTAGGACCCAGGGGGAGCCACCATCAGGACTAAGCAGATGCAGCAGCAAGGCCAGCCCAGCCCAGCCCCGCCCCACCCCCAGTCTCCCCCCACCCCTAGCCAGTAGTCTCTGCCTAGCAGAGGCTTCTGGCCTTGGATCCTGGGGCTGTTCCTGACTTCCTACACTGGAGGGAAATTTGGGTAAGAAGAGGAGGTAGGGGAGGCAGGGGAGGACTGCAGGTGATTGCCCCAGTTCTCAGGGTCTTCCTGCAGTCCAGGCATTGCAGCCGGGAACCAAGCGGTCCTGGAGCAGCCAGCAAGCAGGTGGGGAAATGGCTGTGGAATGCAGGGGGAGTGGCAGCGAGTGAGTGTGAGGAGTGCAGCAACAGTTGGGTGGGCATGTGGGGCCCGTGCCAGGGCCAGCACTGGTAGGGGCCCAGGGTGGGGCAGCAGAAGCGCAGGCTGGCATGGGCTCTATGGAACTGAGCCAGCTCCCCACTCTCCTTGTTGATGCAGCCTAGCCCAGCTCCATAGAGGCCCTGCTGTTCCATGCCCCATGCTCCTGCCAGCCCAGTCTGGGCCCTGCTGGCACTGACTCTGTTTCACCGGCATGGGTCCTGCGCTCCTGCCCAGCTGTCGCTGGGCTCCGTGTGCCCACTTGCTCCCCCGTGACCCCTGCCTGCTGCAGCCATTTCCCTGCTTTTCTGCCTCTGGCTTTCACTGGCTGGCCGGTTGCTCTGGCACCCCGTCATTCCTGGCTGCAGTGCCAGGA